TCAATGGTTTAATGGACAGGGGGAATCTTACACCTCTGAAGCAAGATCCTGGAGCCAAACCCCACGGTGTTTGGCAGATGGCAGGCAGGAAGGGCAGCAGTCTTTGCCCCCTGGGGGGAGGGGGAGGTTACCAGTTATAGGGGGAATTGACATTCGGTTGGCTCATCTGTTACCAGGGAAACTAGCAGAGGGGCATGCCTCTCCCCGCCCCTTTGATAAGCTATCAGGGCGGAGATGTTTTGATCTAAAGATTAGAACAGTCACTAGCTGGGACAGGGGCAAGTACGTAGGAAGGTCAATCAGGTGAGTAGGGTGTAGGTGAAGCAGGCCCTGGTCCAGGGGGGAATGTCCTGAGAGCAGGAAAGCAGCCATCTTGGGGGGCCTGATCATAGAGGCTAGGTGCTCTGATGCCGCCAGCCTGCTTCACTCTCGTATCTGCCTGGTCAGTATAGGCATTTGAGTTTGTGGCTCCAGCCACAAAGCTGATCTCTGGGGATCTCATCAATTACATTTTTTTTTTTTTTTTTTTTTTTTTTTTGCGGTACGCGGGCCTCTCACTGTTGTGGCCTCTCCCGTTGCGGAGCACAGGCTCCGGACGCGCAGGCTCAGCGGCCATGGCTCACGGGCCCAGCCGCTCCGTGACATGTGGGATCTTCCCGGACCGGGGCACGAACCCACGTCCCCTGCATCGGCAGGCGGACTCTCAACTACTGCGCCACCAGGGAAGCCCATCAATTACAATTTTTTCCAATCCTACCTATGGGACTATTCACTCCATCTATCCCTCTAAAGCATATTGTAGGATTCAAACACAAAACTATGACTCTATCAATTGTACAGTTACTATCAAGAGCATTTTTGCTTGGGTTATGTGTGTTATGTTTTCTTTATTTGGTCAAAGTCACATTTTCCTTGCAAGGAAATACCTTGTAGAAGTTAGTGCCAAGAAAAAGAAAAGATTTTCTCTCTTTAATAATTTGTATTACATAAAGCCTTTCTCTTTTTGTCTCAGCTACCAGGAAGTTCAGAACTCAGTTTAATAATGTGTCATAATTCTGGTGGTATTTCTCTCCTTATTTTATGCGCCCTTGATTATTAAATTAATACTAATTACTAACATTAATACACAACTGCACATGTCCTACAAACAGTTTTCAAGTCCATTTTGCAGGAGATTGGGCTTCAACACATCAGTATATAATAAGTGTTACTAACTTCTCAAACCATCCTCCTCAAAGACAACAGAATATAAAACACTAATCAGACTATATTATCATTCCCTTGCTTATTCAAGAACTCTGCATATCTACCTCTTGCTTATAATAAGAAGTCTAACCTGTTTATCAGAGTGCCCAAGACCCTTTATTACATTTCTGTAACCTAGCACATCATTCTGCACTTCGGTCCTCACAGAGTCCCAGTAATGGACTAATGATAGTTTTCCAAATGTATCATGGCATTACCCACATCTTGTCCTTCACAGTACCATTTACCCCACGTATAGTCCCTCTAGGAAGGTAAGTTTACCACAGCAAATACTGCACTGTACTAGCATTTTTAAGCACAAAAATTTTAATAAAATTCTTCCAGGAAGAATCCTGTTCATTTTGTATATGTTCATTTTGGTACATCTGAGGCTGAGCCCAACAGTTCATACAAAATTGTTCTCACTGACTAATCATTTAACTAAACTTTGGTTTGCAGAATTGTTGATAGAATTGAAATAACTGATACAGGGTTATTTTTGACTATAAATAATGGAAAGCCTTTTTAGAATAAATATTGAGTGCTTACTATATGCCAGGTCCTCTTCTAAATATGTAATGCGTATTGATTCACTCAATTCTCCCAACCACCATATTATCCTATGATTTTTGTTCCCATTTTAGAGATGAGGAAACTGAAGCCCAGGGATTAAGTCATTTTCCCAAGGACTCACAGCCAGGAAGGAGTGGGGTCAGGGTTGACCCCAGGAGGTCTGTTTCCACAGATGACATTCATAGTCACCCTGTCTCCCATTTGCAGATTGAAAGTCTATTTGTCCCTTATGACAGCAAATAAGTAGTAACCAATCTCAACTTCCATTAGTCCTACCAGTTCTCATGAGAATGATGGGATTATTTTGAACTCCAATATTTCATGAGCAGATTGTATTCTTGAAATGTCTAGAGAAGTCTAGCAAAAAGCATTAGACAATAGTAACTTTGAATGTAGTGTGTATGCATGTAAGTATGTGTATGCACATTAATTATTTAACCAAGAATAAAGAAGGGTGAAAAAGTACCAGCCAGTCTCCACCATCACAATCACCTGAAGGCAGTGGCTCTCACTGTGGAAGACAGAATCACCTCCCTCTGAAGTTACTGACACAGCTTGTAGAAAGGGGATGTGTTATTGACTTGCTTGGAGTCTTAAGATGCAAACATTTGATTTAAAAAGACTTAGTGACAGAGACATACCTAACGACTTCTTCCACATCAAGGGTCTTCATTCTCATTCATATTCAACTTAGTCAATTTAGAGTAGAGACAATACACTTCTAATTGCTGATGGTAAGGCAGGCAGCATCCTCCATGTTTCGTACATTACGGCAGGGGGGATCCGTTGATTATAAGGAAGGGTTGATCACCCTATGGACCTGCATTTCCAAAGCTGGAGGCCTTCCTGTCTCGAGATTAAGGTCAGTCTTCAGTGGTCCTCTTAATAAGGTAAGGCTCTGGGCAGAGACCTGATATCTTAGTCAGCAGGTGCCAGCTCCTCTCCCCACTGAGTGACGTACTGGGTCAGCCTTTACCATACCCACTCCCAGCTGATTCTAAGACCGGTTTTAACTAGTATTAATCAATAATATGCTTAGCTGCCTTGGCTTGTCTCAATAAAAAGACAAAGGACGTGCCAAAGTCTAATCTGTTTGTCCTAGAAGGTACACGCTCAACCAATATCTTATGAGTCTTAGAGCATTCCATTTTATTTTCCTCACCACAAATGTATGAACACAGACCCTTTTATCAGTCTTTCCTCTGAAGTAGGGCCTGGAGACTGACTCACCGAGACTATCATTTATTAGTCAGAGAACTAATAGGAGGATATTTGGAGAAATAAAACTTTGCGGAAGACCGGAATATTTATTTGGATGGTATCTAATTCAAACCTGAGGTAGCATCATCTCGAAGAAATGAAGGTCTACATAAATTCCTTTGGGAGGGGGCTAAACCTGTCTTCTGGCTGTTTTAATCTCATCAAATTAATAACTGGAACTATCATCTTTGTCATAAAAAGCACCTGCCATTAACAAAACCTGTTCCCCTTGGAAAACAATTTAACTTTCAGTGAATTAAAGTTATGGGGCACTCTCAATAAATTGCATCCTGCAGTTAACACTCTCATGGGAAATACTGAAAGAACATTTCTACAGACAATAATGTCACATTCCTTATTATGGCTAGCATAACTTTAACTCTTAAAGGTTTTATATTTTTAGACCCTAAAGGATATGTTTTTCAGAATGTGTATAGAAAATAACTTTTTTAAAAGAAAAACAAAAGTTACTATTTTTTGTAGTCATAAAAATCTATTAAGGTGAAAAACAATTAACTACCTGATATTTTTAAAAAGATAATGACAATAAAGTTCTGTTTTGCCTCTGTATTTCATAAACATGGACGAGCACAGTGTTGAGCCTATTTAAAATAGCCACAAAAACTAGTTAAGTGACTTCCATGGTCTGTAACTAGGAAGGCTGAATTTTAAAATTATTTTTCACAAAGGTCTATCTGAAATGCCTTTGTAGGTTAAATTTTAGAAGTATGTAAAACTCATCTATGAATATTTGTGTTATTAATGATAACCATAAGGTAGCAAGCTTTGTGTTATTCATCAATCAGTGTAGATAATGGCTTTGAGAGTCGTTAACTCATTGTACCCGTTCCAAAATTTCTTTTTTTTTTGGCTGCGTTGGGTCTTCGTTGCTGCGCTCGGGCTTTCTCTAGTTGCAGCGAGTGGGGTCTTCTCTTTGTTGTGGTGTTCCGGCTTCTCGTTGCGGTGGCTTCTCTTGTTGCGGAGCACGGGCTGTAGGCGCGTGGGCTTCAGTAGTTGTGGCACGTGGGCTCAGTAGTTGTGGCTCACAGGCTCTAGAGCGCAGGCTCAGTAGTTGTAGCACACGGGCTTTGTTGCTCCGCAGCATGTGGGATCTTCCCGGACCAGGGATCAAACCCGCGTCCCTTGCATTGGCAGGTGGATTCTTAACCACTGTGCCACCAGGGAAGCCCTCCAAAAATTTTACTCAGGGCAGCTGTTGATTCTCTTCAAGAGTTCCAGGGGGACTCTGAACCATGGATTAGGTCGTGATTTTGAGCTCCTGTCACTGCGACCAGCTAACATGACACCTGGCCTCTGCTCCAGGGGCTAGTTTGTATGCCAGCTGATTGTCAGGGACTTAGTTTGAGGTGTCAGCTTGTCTCTTTGTAGGTAAAATGTATCACCCTGTAATATCAGTGACCTAGTGAACAACTGGCAACAGGGTATCATGTAATTACTCCTATGGAAATATTGAAAGTAGGCTATACCTTACACGTATATTTTATTTTGTTTAGTTTGTTGTGAATACAGGATGCTACTTTATCCTGTTGTTTCTGTTTATACTCTGGTTGAATTGTATTCTGTTCAACTGAAATTATTTTGAGTTTGCTCCTGTATTCTAATTTCTAATTAAAGGACATCCATACTTTTGCCTATATACACACACACACACACACACATACATGTATATGTGTGTGTGTGTGTGTATATATTCCCGAAAGTAGCAACTTCTTCTCTATTCACTGTATGTTGATAAATGTATATGGACAATTAATACCTGCAGGAAGAGGTGCATCTGGCCATCCCTGCCCAAGGGCTGACTCGTTGGCCACTGTGGGCAAGTTTATGGAAGAAGGAAGAGGAAGCATGAGGAAGCTCCCATTCCTTCCTCTAACTTTCATTTCTTCCTTTTCTCTCAACAGGAACTTTTTACCCCTGAATGCAAGTTTAAAGAATCTGTTTTTGAAAACTATTATGTAATCTACTCATCGATGCTGTACAGACAACAGGAATCTGGTAGAGCCTGGTTTTTGGGATTGAACAAGGAAGGGCAAGTTATGAAAGGAAACAGAGTAAAGAAAACCAAGGCAGCAGCTCATTTTCTACCCAAGCCATTGGAAGGTGAGCGTTACGGGTGTTTTATCCTTATCAGATTTATCACACATTTATCTTTCACACTGATGACTCTACCATGGCCACAAGGAGCCCTCATGGAAGCTGGAAATGTTCTTTATCTTGATCTCAGTGGTGATTCACGGGTGTCTTCATAAGCTGTGCATCTAAGATTTGTACACTTTACTGTATATATGTATATGTGTGTATATTATGTGTATATATATATATATACACATACGCATATATTCCATTAATTTAAATGTGTCCATACTCATTTCTCATGTCTCAGATCCTCACTACCCCAACCTCTCTAGCCCCTAAATAATTTTAAGAAATTTAAAATCTGCAATGACATTATAAAGCTGTGACTATGACAGTAGGTATACTAGAAAAACTAAGTTTTGCGTATTATGGAATGTTTGAGTATTTGCCCATTTTGCTATTATCTAGCTGAAAGTAACCACGTATTTGTGAATTAGTATAATTACAGGAAATATAAAGAGTTAATAAGTTGGCCTTTAAAGAACTTGTTGATATTAGATATCTCCCTTCCAAGCTGCATAATTGTTTAGTAAATTCAAATGTGGCTTGACCTGCTTTTACACTCAGCTGTAAGCAATGAAGCCTTCAGATTTACTTTGATTGGATTTCTGGAGAGGAGGCTACAAAATTTTAATTAATCAGAAACACCTGCACATTTCTCATTAAGGATTCTACCGGAATTTTATCTGTGTAACATTTGTTTAGGAACTACTAAAAGAAACTGATATTGAGGCTTTTCAAAAGTGTTTTTCTATTCAAATGCTTTTGTTTACCTTTTGCAGAAAATCAGACCTGCAATAACTAAGTAAACGTTTGAAGCCAGCTTACACGGTTCGATTTTTCTTTTTGTTTCTTATTCCTACAGGAAAGCATTAGCCATCAAGAGAAACGCATATTGGTTTTATAATCCATATTGTCTTTATAGGAATAAGATAATTTGAAATATTGGAAGTTAATTATCTGTGGATATATAATTCAGCTTTCAGTTTGCCTAGGTTTGGAAAACCAGTCTTGTTGGTTAATACCATCTTTATAATAGTGATATTGACTATATCACTCTTAACTAAATTTGCCTCTACAACGAGTCATTGAAACGCAAACAATTAGCCACCAGGGCCTATCTAGGAAAGGAAAAATTATTCCAGTCTGAAATATGAGTGACTTATTCTCATTCTACGACAGATCATAAGGAAAATGAGAATAAAAATAAGAAATTAGAGGGTTTCTCTGTTCTTCCAAAATAACGTATCCATGATTTGGCTTTACCACTTCAAGTGAACTTTGAGACCGTCAGATATTCAAATGCGAGTGAAAAAAATTTAAAAACTAAGTCCGTAGCAACTGTACAAAAATCAGGCAAAATCTGGAAACCAGCTATTTAGTATATCCAGCAGGAAATATCTGAGACCCTAAAGATATGGGGTAGTAATATCACTCTGCATTTTATTAATACACTGAACTGTTGTGTGTATATGTGTTTGTTGTGTGTTTATGTATACATGAAGAAGAGAGAAATAGAATTTTCAAAAAACTAGCAGACAGAAGTACTCTAAAGACAAGGGGGTATTATAAAGACAGGTTATCACATAGTGTAATTGATAAGGAAAATGAATTTCAAACTTTCAAAACCCATACAGGATGTAAATTGTATCATTGGAATTCTTAGGGCAAATTAGATTCTTGATGAATTATTGGTGCTCTGGGGCCTTCATATTTCTTACACAGCTTCACTGCGGAGACGATCAAGATTAGCACTCTGATGCTGCTGTCGCCTAACTAAACGCCTGGTGGGAGTGAGGGACTGGAAAGTTTGTCAAGGATATGGATTAATCTCTTAATCCTCTTCACTTGCTAAGTCCTTTATGATAGGTCTGATACGCATGTGCTTTCAAGTCTGTGTGCTGCTGAAAGGTCTCACGCTGCATTTGCAAAAGGTGAAATCCTACCACCTTGAACATGGAGAATGCATATAGTGGTTCCTCCTAACAAAGCTTAAGTTCTCTTCGTAAAATATAGGCTTTCAAAACCCTAAAAAGCAGGTTGGGCAGCTCTAATTCGCTTGTCTTTCTGATGGCAGATGATTTTAACTCAGTGTTCCCCAAGCATCAGTCACCCTGAAATCTCCTTTCCCAGGATTCCCTGGAATCACTTGCAGAAAAGCCACATGAACTATTGTGATTAATGATATCACCAGATCAATTCCCCAGAGCTTCCTCAGACGTCATTCCCACTTGCCCTCTTGCCATTCTGTACTTCTGCCTTATATGACATCAATGACAGATTTTCATGATTATACCTGAAAATGAGGCATAAAAAATATAAAACACCCCACACTTGCCTTCAATTATTTAAGGGTCTCTTTGCATGATTTCGGGAGAGGAAATCTAAACAATGATCTCTGGAAGACCCTGGCTTAAGGAAAGGGAGTTGTCTGTATTGCTTTTATGGCTTTGAACCTGAGAGTAGTGTGATTATATTGCCTTTGAAGCACTTGAGAGAAAAATTATTTAATGACCTGGGGTGTAAATACCTAGAATGGAAAAGATGAGTGAGAATGAGTTCCACGTGTTGACAGCGTGCAGTGGAAGGAAAGTCTTTTTCTCGCTGAACAAAGAGAATTAGGTTAAAGGCTTGCCGTTCTCACATAGTCCCTGTGGGGGGGGGGGGGGCGTGTGTGTGGCCACATCCCCCATTTAAACCTTCTCTCCTAGACAAACATGCACGTGCCCCCAGGTGCGTATTTTGGATACACAAACCAGAAAATGCAAAGGAAGTAATATTTTCTGTTTGGGGGCCGGATTTTACTGCTTTAAAACAGGAATTCCCTCTTGATGGGGTTACTTGACTTCAGGGAAAACGGGACTGGGCCAACGGCTGAGGTCTGCATGTGAAGCTAACCAGGTAACATCTCCTTTTCCTCCTGCCCTCCCCGTCACTAGTTGCCATGTACCGAGAACCATCTTTGCATGACGTCGGAGAAACGGTCCCAAAAGCCGGGGTGACGCCGAGTAAAAGCACAAGCGCGTCTGCAATCATGAATGGAGGCAAACCAGTCAACAAAAGTAAGACGACATAGCCAGATCCTCACAGGTGTTGTGACTGACTCGCCCTGAGCACCGTTGAGTGATTTATCCTGGCCACAGCCTCCTGTTCCGGGGCCCAGGAGCAGCTGGCAGTAAGCAGACGCTTGCTCCCCGCTGGCTCGAACTTCTTGGTCCCAAGTGGATAAATCTCAACGTGTTGTGCCCTCACAACAAGAAGACACCTGGATAACCAGCTCAACTCAGACCATGGAATGCCCTACCAGATATGGAATGCCTTTTTAATATCTTTTCTGTGACTGTGACACTTCACGTGAATGACCTACTTCACAAGTCCACTCGATACCTTGCCTGCTGACAGCTCCCCATATTCCTTTTTGAGTCCCGTTTCGGCGAATTCCATGTGTTTAAGTTCGATTTTGTAGCACACAGATACTCTTGAGTAATTTCTAGTTAGATGCTGTAAACCTGTGCTATTATGGAGTTCTCTTCTTCCCGTTTTTACAGGGCTGCTGGCTCCACTGTCTGTGACCTTTTGCAGGGATTGTGTTCCTCTCAATCGTAACTTGTAGCGGTTGGCTTAGTTTGGAGAGCGATCAGGGAAACAGAAAGCCTTCTAAACCTATTATGACACATTGCATCTATAACGATTAAGAGTGTTGTCTCTGGCTCACACTACTGATGAAACACACATATATGCTCTGTCCAGTAGCAGATACTGTGCTCCCAAGGCCGCGTGGCCGGGCTGAGAAATGGGGTCAAACGCAGTCATGGGAAGCGCTCTATGATCTGGGTTTGACATCCCCCTTAGTTTCTTTGTGTGTGTGTGTGTTTTATACATATCACAAGCTTACTGGTAATGGTAACATTTGCCTTGCCCAGCGAGCAAGACCCACTGGTTTTTGAGAAAGTGGGTCCAAAGAACTCTGTAGGCCTTGTAGGCCTGATTAAGGTTCATTTTCATCTATGAATCCTCATTATTTGGAAAAAAGGAAAAAAAATCAATAATTACAACCTACAAGAATTGCGCTACCTAAATCCATTTCAGATAGAATCCTTCCTGTTTTTAATGAACCAAACTTAATGCCATCCCTGGTTTGGGCTGCATTCCACTCATACTCAGCAGAGCATGGGCAAGGCGGCTGTTGTGTTCTTTTCTGCAGCAGCAATGCAAACGTTAGTTATAAATTAGACTTTAATATTTTTGGTGTTTAACAAGTTTTTAAACTGGACATATTAGGAAAAAAATATTTTTTTTAGCTCAGCATGCTGAGTCAGGTACTGTGTAATTCACCAGTCCATACCTCTGACTCAGCTTCTCGGGCCCCTGTGGCCCAATGGCTGAGTTAGAGGTGCCTTGCCATGATCTCAGAATGCAGTCTGTTGAATTATTCTAGATTAAAACTAAAGACGAACCAACATGTTCAAACATCAGGTTTTCGGTCCATCTGATTTTTTTTTTTTTTTTTGCTGTTCTTTGATTTTGCTTAACTTCCTTTGGAATTTAATACTGCTGAATTCTGAGCTTAGGGAAGACAACGACTAAGAAAGTCCATGAATAGTTGACTCCACAGTGAAGAAACCATGCAAAATGTTCAATATTGGATATAAAGAGTTTCAAAATGTTTGATACTAAGCTGTTTGGAAATATATTTGTTAACTCTGTGTATACTTAATAAATTTCAATGTTTTCTCCTCAGAAGAGTTAACTGAGACCAAACTGAACCTCATTTATAGAAAACTATACGTGGGATCAATGAACTGGCCTCTTGTTATTATTTCCATGTGGAAGGATGACCCAGTCGCCATTTTCTCCCATCTGCATTGTATTTACTGGGAAATTATTTTGTCACTGCTTTCCTAAGTCTCCATGACAGCCCTTGCCCAGCATTTAAAAATTTTGGCCTGCTTAGCTGATTAAAGATTTACTATCAATTTAACTGTTTATGCTTATTTCATTTTCGTATTGAATTCCACTTTAATAAATAAAATGTTAGCATAAACGTTTGAGTAGATTCATTGTCGATAGTGCTAAAGTACAACAAAATGCTTCTTTTGACCTCTCTTGATTTCTTGTTACACCATTTTAAAGCTTATTATTTTTAACAGGCTAAGTTAAAATACATTAGATGAATTTCATTAACCAATTGTTTAGGGAAGACATATATTCCATAATATGTGGCAACTTGAAATTCCAATTAGATGGACTTACCCTACTGCGCACAGGCACACACACACACACATCAAACAACCCCACCTATGTTTTTGGTAATCAGCCCTACTTGCTGGTTTCTTTTTCCCCTGTAAGCTTGTTTATTGGTTAAAATTATGACAAGATTTATTTTTGTAAGTGACTGAGATTTCAGTAAATGTGTATCTCTGTTTTGTTTTTTACATGAGTTATCGATAAGGGCATTTATCCCTATGAATGGATGTCAAAATACTTTCTTCTAATATATGTTTAGACGTATCGCAGAGGGGTCCTTGTTATTTGTGATTTAGTTAGATCATTTCCTCTGTGTCTGGTCTGACCTGTTGCATGGAACGAGGACAGCACTGATGAACTGCATGTTGTAGGACCTGTGTATCAAGAACCATTGGTGTGTATTAATCTACATACAAAGAGTTTGTCTGCATTGTACAGTTTCTGTGTTGAATATCATTTGTTGTATTCATAAATACAACATATTGAATAAAATATTTATATGACGGCATATTCAAAAACATTGAACAACTTTATGTAATGAAATGGCATTGCATCACCCACATAGAGAAATGTCATGTAAATAAGTTTGGTAAACTCATTTTCCCCCTTTACCATGCCAAAGAAAATTTTAGCTCTTTGATGATACCTCTCTTGCTATTTTTCCAGGATAAGACTCCCCCATTTTCTCCCCTCAAAAACTGTTTGCTGTTTTAAGTAAGTGCAGTCTGTCACCTTTGGTGTTCTGTACAGTAAATCTGATGGAATTCATTTGTATTTAGAGAACACCACGTGTTCTGTACCTCCACGTACATATGTCGATCTTATCAACTCTTTCCAATATCACATTCCTTTTGCATCCATATCTGGTGTGAGAGGGTTATGTCTACTGATTTGTTATGGTAGCTGTTCCATTCATTCCTCAACAACGCTCTGGAATGTTCATTGTTTTGATATTTCAGGTGACATCATTTTATTTTCCTGTAAGTTTGCTTTCTAAAATACTTTGCTACAACTTTACTTGGAAAAATTATAGAAGAGATGCAAATGGTTCAGCCTATATAAAGAGTAAAATGGAACTGAGCATCATGTCATTACAAATCTTGGAGAATTTAGAGATTCGTGCTCTAAATGTTCCCTTGCCCTGAGTGTTTGGGGTAAGGGCTGGCTTCAAGATGGGCCCACAAGACTGCTGCAGTCCGTCTAATTGTTTGCCTCTTGGAGAGTAAGAAGAGTTTCTTTATCACACCTGGCCAGTTGCTTAATGAATGCCTAAAGCACTACAACAGTCTGCTGTTTTCAGGATGACCAACATCAGATTTGGTTCTTTTTTAAAAAACAACAAGAAAAAAACTTCTCTCTTTTTAAGTTAGACATGTATCACTTCATTTAAAGTTTTCTCCCCAATATTAGAGTGAGAGTTAACATTTGAAGGAGAGACCAGATTGACTAAGAAATCCATTTTAGAAGGAATTGAAAATCATTAAAAATTATTTTCAATGTTATTTCAGAACAAGACTATACCCAGGGCAAGCTTTTGAGCTAAACGCAGGCATATCAAACTCCAGGTGTGAAGAGTATTACTTTGGAGTGAAATACATTTCATAGTGTAGCTCTCTTAGCTTACAAAGTGGCACACAGGGCCTGCTGACTCTCTCGAATACTCAGTAGGGTTTCAAAGGTTTGATAGTGAATCTGCAAACAAAGACTGAGTTATGTTTTTGTTTTTACCTGGTTTTCTCTATCATTTGGTCTAATTCCCACGTTGTGTTTGCATTTGAGGTCGTGGAGGCCATTCCTTCCAATGCGCGGTAGGAATCTAGATTAGCTCAGAGTCCAGGAAGACAACAGGATATAGTGATTCTCTTAGATCTTAGGACATTAGTAGAATCTTATTAAAAAGTCCTTTATGGAAGAATTCCTCAGTGATGGTTAGCCAAGCAAGCAGGGTTGGTGCCAACACCATCTGCAAACTTGTCGCATCTTTCCCAGTGGACATTAATCCCACCATAACTGCCGACCAACTTGAACAAGCCAACAAAATTTGCATATTTTCCCTCCACCTATTACAAGTTTGTTCTTGCCCTGCCTTTTATTTGAAGAGGGAGTTTTTATCTTAGTAATGGAATCAAAAGTCAAAGTACAAAATAACATTTAAGAAGGTTAGAATCTATGTCTTTACATGTAACTATGTTTATTTTTCTCCAACTTAAACATGTAAATTAAATCACTTCTTAATAGATCTATTGATGTTTCATTGCTAGAGACAAAACCACACACAAAAACACGCACAAGAACTGTTATAGCAGACAGAAAGAGGTAAAAAGAAGATATTTCTGTTTTAAAAGAAAAATATTCATTAGAGTTTAGGTACCATGTGACTTATGCTATAATTCAGCTTTGGTTCAATAATTCATGGCTAAATGAACCACAGAATATAGCTGACTATAATAGATTTTGTCAAAAAATTTGGACAAATCACATTCTGAACTTTATAATAAAGTAATTTCTCCATATTTAAACTTCTTAAAGAGCATAAATGCTGAGGACATTTTTCTTACATGAAAATATAAAAAGAGCAGCATTCTTGCTGAAGGGATAACAAATATAGAGAATGAGAAGAAACATAAGACACACCTAGGGTAACGTGATGAGACAGGAAACTAAGGGCCGTACCAGTAGAGCAGGATGGCAAACTACTGCTTAGCTGCAAGCCAAATACAGCTTGCAATCTGTTTCTTATGGCCCAGGAGCTCAGAATGAGGTTTTTTTATTTTTTCCATTTTAAAGTATTAAACGTGAACAGACAAGAATCTTCTATAGAGATGTATGTGACCCACAGTCTAAAATATT